GCCTTGGAAGTCCCAAGGCTCTTCTGTTATACCTAATTGGTTGAGGAAGTCACAAACACATGCCCTGATAAGGGGAGTAGACATAAACTCTCTATCTTGATGAAAACATTTCAAAGAATTTATGGTCATGTTTTAAAATCACAATATTAGGAAATTTATATGTAGTCTAGTGGAATAAGTGAGCCATTTTCCTTTCTTGATCTGCCTAAGACAATCAGTAATGAAAGACCATTCTGAGTACAGAGGATGTAACTTAATTCTTTAGGTAGGGCAATTTTTTTTAAAGATTTATTTATTTATGCATACAAGAACTGAGGTACAGGCCAGAGCAGGATGGGGGTGAAAGGATTCACCAGAGACAGAGTAGGGATTGAGCAGGCAGATTGACTGAAATACACTGCTGAGGGGAGCAACGGGCAAGACAGGAGAGGTCGGCTGCGCCATGTGGGTCAGCTTCCAGGCCAGGTATGGTACTCATGCTGCAGTGGCTGCAGACTGCTTCATAGTGCTGAGACTTAACTCCTGACGCCACCAAGAGGCCTCTAGATGGGCAATTTATTTTTATGTGTTCCATTCTGGACCTGTACCTTGATCTCTAAATTCCAAGGTGCCTGGTGCTATTTCCATTTGAAAAATTTAACATAGCTCACACTTGGCACATGCAACATCAAACTCCAGATGTCTTTTAAAATGCTCCTCCTACAGCTTTTCCCTTCTCAATAAATGACAACTCCATTTTTCTTGCTGAAGCCAAAAAATCACAGCCCACTGGTTATGCAGTCATCTTGCTGCCTTGTCTCCTTTTGGTCTTTGATCAAACATCCTTGTTGTGATGTTGTTCCTGAACGTGCTGCTTAAAACTAAACTCGCTCTCTGCTCTCAGCATTACCTACACCCCTTCCCACCATCATTTTTCTGCTTGGCACCTCTTACTTGCTTTTGGCTTCTTATTATAACATAAACTCCCAAGAGTCAGGATATTTTGTCTGCCTCGATCATTGATGAATCCTCAGTGCTTAGAACAATGGTATGTGATGATTGTGCTATGAGTTTTTGTTGAAAAAGCAAATGAATTTGGCAACTAGCATAGAAAAAAAGATCAAGGAGTGGGAGAATGGGAGCAAGGGGACTAACAAATATATAAGAACTAGAGAGAACCTATAGAGATGTATAGCTTGTTTTACTCTCAAGTTGCAGTCATAGGAGAAATACATTTAACTATTCTTCAAAGCATATTGGCTGCAGGCCTCCCTGGTGGCACAAGGGGTTAAGCACCATGCAATGGTGCTGTCTGCAGCCTCTGCAGCATGAGTTCAATCCCTGGCCAGGTTGCTGACCCACATGGTGCAGCAAACCTCTCCTGTCTCACCTGCTGCTCCCCTCAGCAGTGTATTTCAGTAGATCCGCCTGTTCTGTTACCCACTCTGTCTGGTGAATCCTCTCGTCCCTGTGCCTCTAGCCTGTACCCCAGTTCTTGTATGCATAAATACATCTTTTTTTAAAAAAAGTATATAGGCTGGGCCTAAAGCAAATGTCTATGCCTATGGCCATTCTCTTCCATATGAACATTGGGGAAATGAACTTGGAGAGCCTGGCAGAGAAAATAGGCTTCAGATAAGCTTTCATGGCAGCAAAGCTTCTAAATTGCTTCAACTTTTATTTCATCCTTCTCAACAAGAAGATTTTATCAACCGCCAGCAACTCATGCACAACAAGTGATTGCACGCCAACAATAAGAAAAGGAAAGTGGGCCTTCCTGGTGGTGCAGGTGGTTGAGTGCAGTGCTGTGAGGCTGTCCACAGCCTCTGCAGCGTGTGTTCAATCCCGGCCAGCCGGGGAGATGCCCACATGGCATGGCAGACCTCTCCTGTCTCGCCCTCTGCTCCCCTCAGCAGTGCATTTCAGTCGATCTGCCTTTTCTGTTCCCTGCTCTGTCTCTGGTGAATCCTCTCACCTCCCGCACATCTGGCCTGTACCCCGGTTCTTGTATACATGAATAAATAAATCTTAAAAAAAAAAGAAAGAAAGAAAAGGAAAGCAATCATTTGATGAAAATTATACCTATTGTTGTAGAATTTTACTTCAGCTTGGAAATTATGATAAAAGCCTTAGTGAAATAGAGATAGTTAATAAGAGAGAAAAATGACAAACTCAGAGCAATAGAAACACCTCAGGAGTATTCAACCAAAAGCAAGCACAGGATAGAATCTTTAATAAGCTCTAAGTATTGAGGACACAAAATTGTCTGCAAGGATATGGGCCTAAGAGAGACAAATTCCTGGAGACTATAGCTTGCCAATTTAAGTGTATATTTATAATCACATGTCTGGGTTCTCCTGGCTTACCACTACTTGAAGCTTTGGCTATCAATGAAAGCTCTGTATATATGGAAGATTCTTCTTCACAAGGAAAGGTAATCCAAATTCACTGGGCCCCCAGCAGAGACTTGAGCATTCCCTAACAGAAGCCAAAGAGAATGCAGTTCCCTTTCCAGAGACTCTTCTGTGAGTTTCTGTGTTTCTGTCTAAAGATTTTGTATCTTTATCTCCAAGAGAAGAGGAGGTGGATTACTTTCTTTGATTGAAATAAAAGTCTAAAGATAGTTAGACAAAGAGTTCATCCGATGAAGTGATTTGAGCACAAGAAGCAGTTGAATGGTTCAGCAATCACAAATTTGATTTCATTTATAAGAACAGGAATAGCGAGTTGCGTGTAATTTTTCTGGGGGCGAGGGGAAGAGCTTAGAACTTTTGATTTCCTATCTTTACCTTAAAAACTATTGATGCTGGGCCTCCCCAGTGGCGCAGCGGTTGAGCGCTGGGTTGCGAAGCTGCCCGCAGCCTCTGCAGCGCCAGTTCGATTCCGGCTGCTCCCCGGCCACCGGAGGAGGGTCCCTCATGGCGCGCAGACCTCTCCTGCCGCCCGCTGCTCCCCTCAGCAGTGTACTTCGGTCCTTCTGCCTGCTCTGCTCCCTGCTCTGGCTCTGGTGAATTCTCTCACCCTCCTGTGCTTCTGACTGTACCCAGTGCTTGTATAAATAAATAAATAAATCTTTAAAAAAAAAAAAAAAAACTATTGATGCTATCTATGCACAGAAGAAAGCAAATGCTGTGTTCCCATTGTTAGAATCTTTTTTATTTTTTATTAAGATTTATTTATTTATGCATATAAAAACTAGGGTACAGGCCAGAGGTGCAGGGGGTGGGGTGAGAGGATTCACCAGAGACAGAGTGGGGGACAGAACAGGCAGATTGACTTAAATACACTGTTGAGGGGAGCAGCAGGCAATGCAGGAGAGGTCTGCTGCGCCATGTGGGTAGCTCCCTGGCCGGCTGGGAATCGAACTCGTGCTGCAGAGGCTACGGACAGCTTCATAATGCTTTTCTTAACCCCTTACACTACCAGAGAGGCCCTGTTCTTGGGTTTTAGAAACTGCTCTCATATTTTATGGCTGTCTTTAAAAAATGAAAGAAGTCCTCATGTCCCCAAGCTGCCTTTCGCACTCTAGTTACCAAAATTTTATCTTAATTCTTAAGATCAAAAAATATTAAAGGTGAAGGAACATTAGAGATCATCTAGATTGATCTCTTTATTTCACTGAGTAGGAAACAAAGGTCCAGTGATAGGTGGTGACTCCCCCAAGTTCACCGTGGGGGTATGGGCAGTTCTCTGCTCAGCCCTTCTCTCGCCACCATTGACATGGACTTCCATCTCTTTGTCCCGTAAGACTCCGTATTAGAGTTTATAATTCCATAAATAGAATGTTTGGGTTGGCTTTGGCTCAACCAAAACTCAACTCTGTCTCCTCCACATAGATCCATCTGCTGCTTCTCCAGCCCCACCCACAGTACAGAGCAGATGGGGTCAGGGAACTTTCCTGAGAGATGACCCATGTAGGAGCAGGAACCCAAAATTATCCTATGGTTTCCCTCCTGTGCACTATGTGGGATAAGACATATGTTAGTTTCACAATGCTAAATGTTCACCACCAAGGCCAAATTCATCATAAATGCCATGGCCAGGTTGTATAAATACATTGGTATTGGTTTCATATTATGTCAGCAAAAGATGAACTTCAAGGTGCTAATAAGGTAAAATAGAAAGTCACCTCTTGATAGGTCACACAGAGAAGAGACTGGGATAAGTATCCTACATATCTTTATATTATGATGCTCCCCACCCATCCCCAATAGAATTCACTACACAAATATGATTTCATTGGGCTAAGAAAAAGTTTATGGTCCTAGCTTTCACTATGTCAGACAGCAGAGTGTGAGACTGTTGAGAGGCCAAGGAGACCTGCTTGGACTCCTTGGAAATTGCTAATGATAATTTACCGATATGTTACAGACCTGCCCCCAAGCCCCCCAAAAATGTATGGGTGCAGGGACCCTCTAGGAGAAAGAATTCACCAGAGAGCTTCAGGTGAACTAGGCAAGGGCTTTATTAGTGTCTCATGTACAAGGAAACCAGTGCTGGAAAAACGGAATTTTGACCTGGTTCCCTGAGGGAAGTTAAGGTGATAATTTTATAGTGGCTGAAGGGAGCATTGTCATAGCTGGTTCTGGGCTGGGCTCTGCCCAAGGAAGCACAGACACGTTCCATTGCAACTGTGCAGGTGGGCGCAGGGTCTCCCCCTCCAAGAAACTGTATGGCAAATCATCAATTAAGATCCCATGCCTTAGTTCCAGCATTGGCCCCTTTGGTCAGTTTGGGGGCCCAAGTTGTTTGGACAGGATGGAAGGCAGAACCATTAGTCCAAGCTTTAGTCCACCCATTTAAACAGGAGACTGGGGCCACTTCGCCCAAAATCCAATTTAGTTGTTTCAGCTGGGCACTGGGCAACCCAGTTGGCAATCCAGCTTCATAATTTGCTCATAATTTCTTTTACTTAAATTGTCTCAGGAGGATATTTTAAAAATATTCACTGATTCTAGTGATCTTATTATCTAAAAGGCAAAAACTCAGTAACAAAGAGGTAAGGGAAGGACAATACCTACCATGTTGTATTCTCCTCCTCAACTTCCCAGAAGTTTAAAGCGAGAATCTTAGCTCAGGATGCACCAGCGGTCTCAGGTACTGTGGGAAGAAGCCACCAAGTGTTGTGTCCCGCCTGCCCAGAAGCCTCACATTACTTTTGCCTTTGTGATGTCAAGACTGGAAGAGAGATCTGCACAGTAGTTATCTAGAGAAATGGGGGCAGACCCACAGCAGCAAACCACCCAACACATCAGTTGACTGATCATATTGATGACAGCAGGTGTTGGGGTGGGGAAGAAACCATTAGAATTTTCCCTCACGCCAAAGATAGCCCAAGGGAGGTTTTTCTTTATCCCATTTGCTGGGTGAATTTCATCTCATGCCCCTTTGGGTCCCTTAGGCTGGCAAATAATAAAACAAGCATCAGGCAGATTGATAGACGGCCATACAGAAGTTAAATAATAACATGTATACCTCTTGTGTACACTGGAAAGACCTAGTATGTCTGCGCAACTCACTTACATCTTTAGACCCCATCTTAGCCAAGATAGTTTAGGTTGGGGGTGGAGGAAAGGGGAAATTCAGTTAGTGAGTTTGCTGGGGAAGGCACAGCAAATAAAAGGTACATATGTTCAGTGCTGCCTTCTCCAGGAAAAGGAATTAAGAAGATTAGGTCTTCCTGGTAGAAGCCCTTACAGAGAAGCTTACAGATAAGTATGATAAACAACTTCCACCCAGCCTTCAGGGCCCCTCCCTTGAAGTCAACCTCTCACCAAAACAGACTTATTTTGGGATGGCAGATTTTGATTCCTACAGTCTCACCTAGACAGAAGACATAAGAACACAGATGTTTTCTTCAAAAGAAAAAAAGACAATAGCCATATGAAAGAAGCCAGAATTAAGGCCCCCGAAACAGTCTAGGCTATTATGATGCAAATGGTTCTGACACCACATTCTCATTATACATACATTTCACTAAACAAATTTCTTTTTTTTTTAATAATAAATTTTATTGTTATATTCCCCATACAATTGCAGCCCCCCCATTCTGACTCACTAAACAAATTTCAATGCTATCCCTGTGCTGTCTGACCATTCTTTTTTAATTATTTATGCTAATATTTTTGTGGGTGGTGAATTAGTTGTATTTGAATGCCCAGAAGCAAAAAGATGAAAATATTTCAATGACAGTAATGGATAAAAAAGCACCCTGCTGTTTGGGGTTTCAGACATGATTTTTTGTTTTAATGTACGTTGCCTTTGATGGCTTAACCATTTTGACAGTAATAGCCCGCATTTCCACAGAGACTCTTCCCAACTAATTCAATGCTTCGTGCTTAATCTTTTTCCCTACAGCATTCTCTAAATCGTTCCTAAAATTACAGATAAGTTTGGAAAAAAGTATATGGTTCACGATACATAAATCTATTTCATTTTCATATATAAAAGTAGATTGACTTAAGGATAAGTAAATAACATGGCACGGTAAAAGGAATTCCTGGGTAAAGATGGCAAAGTTTTGAGGGGAGCGGTGTGAAGACTTTGGGCTGGCAGATTGACCAAACCTGGAGAGTATTTTCTCGGGCAGCTCAGTGGGTGAGTCTCTGCTTAGGCTGATAAAATATTGGATCTTACCCACAACCAGTATAATGTTTCCTGTCTTGGATAGAAAGGGAGACTTGGCAGGCACGAATAGCCTCATTAGATCTTGTCTTTTCTCTCCCTGTGGCAGAGCGGAGTCTTCAGAAAGCAACGCAAATACCACAGACATTCCAAAAGTTAATGAAGTAATTATCTGTTCTTGACTACCAGTGTGGTGTCTTCTCAGATTAAATTCAGATGGGCTGAGGTGCAGGCTGCCCCAGTGTAAACACCCCAGTGATTTGTAATCATTCTGCTGGCAGTAAGGCTCCAGCGGGTCTTTAAACGGGTCTTTAAACAACGAGGCCACACATCACAAAGTTTCTCTCCTTTCCTTCCCCCACTTTTTTTGGAGTGAGGAGAAAGTAGCATGGTTAGCCTATATTTTATTAGCAGTCTTACAGGGGAAAATAAATTGAACCAAAAAATGGAAGGGAAAGGTAATGTTTGATCCCTTGTATTTTTACATGGCCTTGTCATTGACTTCTGACCTCTCTGCTTTTAATTACTCTTTTTAACTACTCCCCATTTCTCCTTTAGTGCATTGATTTTGAACTTTGATTCATGTTTACTATTAATTTTTTATTAGTCTTTTATCATCCCAAATCAAAAATCAGGGCATTATTTGTTAAGAAAACAAATGCAGGGCCTCCCCTTGTGGAGCAGTGGTAGAGCGCTGGGCTGCGAGGCTGCCTGCAGCCTCTGCAACGCCGGTTTGACCCCCGGCCCCCGGGGTGAGGGTCCCACATGGTGCAACAGACCTCTCCTGCCGCCTGCTGCTTCCCTCAGCAGTGTACTTCGTCAGTCTGCCTGTTCTGTTCCCCGCTCTGGCTCTGGTGTATTCTCTCACCCTCCCACACTTCTGACTGTACCCAGTGCTTGTATAAATAAATGAATCTTTAAAAAAAAAAAAATTTATAACCAACACCGAATGCAAGCTTATTATTGTGGTGCCAAAAAAGAGCAAATATTGTATTTTATAACATTTTCTTTGGTTGGAAAAGGGAACTAGAGAAAGGCTGATAAATGGGCACAGACTTAAAGCTAGAGATGAATAAAGTCTGAGCTCTAAGGCAGTGTGCGGTAAGTGCAGTTGACAGCATAATATAATATAGCCGAAATTTGCTGAGACTGGAAATTAAGTGTTCTCACCTAAAAAAAAATAATATATAAATAGAGAGGATGATGAAAGTGATAATTAGCTAGATGGTAGGAATTCTTTTACAATACTGTAGGGTAAAGAAAATATCAGGCTTTTCTGCCCTCCCGCCATCAGGATAGATGATGGATCCTTGTCCTGAATGCATGCCTGATGGCGGGCACCTGGAATAGGGTGTGGGCATGGGTAGATGGGATTCAGCTGAGCTAAGACTGTGCTTTTAAGGGCGGTGTCATGGGGACGCCAGCAGCAGCAGTAGAAGCTGAGAAAGAAGCCAAAGAGAAGCAAAGAAGAGAAGCCAAGATCACCAGAGAGCCCAGATAGAGTGAGGATTTGCTGGGGGCTGGGAGGTCTGCCAACCTCCCGGCCCCCCAGCACCCCTGCCTGCCATATTCCTGGTGAACCCCAATAAAAGACCTGCAAAAAGCCACTGAGGACTCTGACTCCTCCTTTACCCGGTCTGCATGGGATCAGAAAACCTGCACTGTGCCCATTCCTGCGCTTTACAAATACATATATACATTGAGTCATGATGGACGTACTCTTTAAATATCTTACAATTTTATTTGTCAATTAAACCTCAATAAAACTGACAAAAGTCATGAATGAACACATTCTATTCATAAATTTTAATTGAATTTATTTAACTACAGTTAAATTCATGAAATTTAATTGAATTTATTTCATGATCATGCATTTTAAATGAATAAATGGATGAACAAATGAAATTTCAAAAGGCTTGCCACAAGAAGGTACTCCAAGGGCAATAGAAGAGGAAGGACTAACTAAACAACTTAGTCTCATGCCGTCTTGGGGATGACAAAAAAGGAGGTAATTAAAGACCACGGCTCTCTTTAATCATGAGTCAATGGATGAAATTAAAAGTGGAGCAATGGCAAATCACTCAAAGTTTTGCAAATTTAGTTTCCTGTCATTTGAAGATTCTGCTTTATTAACCATGGATCACCAGTTTTAAAAAAAGAGAACTAGAAATCAGCTTTTAGTTCTTATAAAATCTGGTCTTTGTTTAACTATTTAATGAAACACTGAGCTTTCACAATGCTTTTGCCTAACGAGCCTCTTCATTTAGTAAATATTTATTGAGTACCTATTATGTTCCAGGTACAGGGGATAGAGCAGTGAACAAAATAGCCAAAGTCTGACCTAGCCAGCTCACCTTCGAATGTTAATATGGTAAATATCCATTATCACTTCTATGCTCCAGAAACGGTTCTTAATTTCCTTCAGTTCATGGACAACTTGAGGATGTATTGAAAACTGTGGGTGTCCTCCCTTTAAAATGAATGAATGAAAAATAAAATGGGGCCTCCCCTGGTGGTGCAGCAGTTGAGCGCTGGGCTACAAAGCTGCCTGCAGCCTCTGCAGTGCCAGTTCGATCCCCGGCCATCGGCAAGGGTCCCACATGGCACGCAGACCTCTCCTGCAGCACCCGCTGCTCCCCTCAGCAGTGTATTTCATCAGTCTGCCTGTTCTGTTCCCCGCTCTGGCTCTGGTGAATTGTCTTTCACCCCCCGCCCCCCCTCCCCGTGCTTCTGACTGTACCCAGTGCTTGTATAAATAAATAAATCTTTAAAAAAAAAAAAAAAGAAAAAGAAAATGAATGAATGAACAAGTAGAAAAAAAAATTATCGGTGTATGGAAGTTGGTATATCTCAATACCACCTGTGACTATTGTTGCCACACCCTCTGGGATTTCAAAGCTTTTGCTCTTTTTTGGTCCCAGAAATTATAATTCATAGATTTACTCAACCAAGATACATATAAAAATTGGGCTCCTGGTCCCCTATGAGTCTTTACACTTTCTAGGCTCTCTGGCGTTCTCTTGTGGTCTCTGCTTCTCCTTTGCTGCTCCGCTGGTTCTGCTCTCATTCTCCTACTCTCTTGGTGTTCCCGTGACACCACCCTTATAAGCCCAGTCTCTCAGCCCAGATGCACCCACCTATGTGTGCCCACACCCTACTCCAGGTGCCTGCCCTGAGGCATGCATGTAGGACCACAGGGATCCATCATTAATGCTAATGGCAGGATGGAAAATCCTGACAATTTCATTTACCCTACAATGACTTCAAAATTTTTTTAAAAAGAGACTCCCTGGTGGCGTAATGGGTTAAGATGCAACCTATAAAGATGTCCACAGCCACTGCAGCACAAGTTCAATCCCCAGCCAGGGAGCTCAGTAGACCTCTCCTGTCTCACCCACCACTCCCCTCAGCAGTGTATTTCAGTCAATCCACCTGTTGTGTTCCCCACTCTGTCTCTGGTGAATCCTTTCATGCCCCCCCACACACCTCTGGTCTGTACCCCAGTTCTTGTATGCATAAATAATTTTTAAAAAATAATTTTTTTAAGAACCTACGGCTCCCTGCCTCTTGTTTGTACATTCCAAGTATGTCTTTGATACCAAGTGTGTCTGAAAAACAAAGAAAAATAAGACGAAAGGAGGGTAAATAAGGAAAAAAGAGGGGAGGGTGTAGAGGTCAGGAACAGGACACTGTGCAGGTTTTCTGATCCAGCAGACCGGGTAAAGGAGGAGTCAGAGTCCTCAGTGGCTTTTTGCAGGTCTTTTATTGGGGTTCACCAGGAATATGGCAGGCAGGGGTGCTGGGGGGCCGGGAGGCTGGCAGGCCTCCCAGCCCCCAGCAGGTCTTCACTCTGGGCTCTCCGGCCTTCTCCCAGCTTCTGCTTGTTCTTGGCTTCTTGGCTTCTCTCTCTCGGCTTCTGCTTCGGCTTCTTTTTCAGCTTCTGCTGGCGTCCTCATGACGCCGCCCTTAAAAGCCCAGTCTCAGCCCAGGTGCATCCCATCAACCTAGGTCCACACCCTATTCCAGGTGCCTGCCATCAGGCATGCATTCAGGACCGCAAGGACCCATCCTCTGTCCTGATTGCGGGAGGGCAGAAAAGCCTGACATTTTTCCTTACCCCGCAGAGGGAAAGGAGCCTGCTTCCTTATTTCTATAGACTGTCAATGATAACTTTTCCCTCCCGAATAAGTTAAGGAAGTGAAAGACCCAACTGGGCTGGCCATTCCATTACTTTTATAAAAATTGTCACTTTAACTTTCGAACTCTACAACCAA